GGCGGATACGCTGATCAGGCGTGAAGCGATGCACACCCTCGACACACTCGGCCATCTCACCCACTCGTGTTGTCCACGTGAACTCGGGTGTATCTGCAAGGCCAATGGACGGACCACCCTTGCTGGACACGGCGCTACCGCCTAGTCCTACGCCAAACTCATGCACGGTAATGGTAGCCCATCGCACACTCTTTTTAAGTTTGGAGGTTGAAGCTCGTATTTTTGAATCGTGGTTTCGAGATCTGCTGTCGTGCAGATCAGTACACAGCTTGGACTTCTCGGTCATTCCGTGGTAGCCGACGCTGCAGTCGACTTTAGTTGCCTTTGAGCTAATAGAGTGGTCTTGTCCTCGTGCTGCGCAAAGATACTCAGTTGTCGTGTGCTGAGCGAGATCGCCAGTACTAAATGCACTAATTAAAGCATTTATGCGCTAGCTACTGGGATGTTGGTCGTTTTGTGTTGTGGCTGGCGTCCGCTTCTCGTCCGCTGGTCAGTCGATTCGGGTGCCGCATAGGTACGAGTTGGGTGGTGCTAGTCCAGCTGCATAAAATATCAGCTTAATTAAGTACACGTATATTCGGGACATCGCACGAATCAAGTCAGACAAACGTAGACGGCAATTACTGTCCTCGCCTGTAAATTCGGGTGAGCTACGAAAAACGTCAGTTAGTTTAAAGAAAGTCAGAAAAATAGTGCGACTTTCATGGCCTCGGCTCAGCTCATGACCGAATAGCTTAACGCTGTGAAAAGGCCATTCTCAACAAAAATTTCGTCAACCGACTATTTCCATCTGAGATTTAGCGACTTTGGCTGTCACCACTAGATGCAGCTAACTGAATTAAAATTCGAGCTAAATGGCTGAAAAAGGGGATATTAAGTATAGCAGACTATTTAACTGGGCGGATGTACCGTGACGATGATGCGCTACACTATCAAATTCGCACAACACCTCCGTACTCGTTTTGTACTCCAATTAGAGCGCTCAATAATGTTGCCATTCCGCATTTTGTGCACTACAACCCTCTGAATGAGTATTATAGGATAGCAACTGTGACAGCTATGAAGTGCTAATATTCAGCACATGTCAATGCTCAACCTGTAAACAAGTGCGTTTTTCCTAGGACCATAGTGCGCTTTACGCTCAGAGGCCCGTTTTAAGCATCGATAAAGATGCTATTCTTCGATAATCTGTCGGAGCTCTTAAAACTAAAGTCTTTTCTACCGCTGTATACTTCCTACGCGTGTTACGATCTGCTTCGCCTGGAATGAAATTTTGACGGTGAAACTGAAGTATCTCGTAGCGTTGTTGAAATATTGCCATGTGGACGTGTACAACCTTGCAAGTCGCAACTTTCGGGTGGCTCAAAATTGCTTTAAATTTTGTGATTGTAGTATCACTGCGAACAATGTGTTTTGAATTGGCTCTACAGCTTAACACCTCTTGTTTCGAGAAGATGTAAGTACCACATTGTACAAGTTACTCGGCAGTGGTATGCGCCGTTCTTCTCACAGATACTGGTGTTGGTGCCTCCGTCGCCGATTTCCTTGAGGTAACATCTTATGACGATACGATTACTGATATAATTCTCATGACTGACAAGAACATCTCGGAAAAGTCGTTTTAGCCTCACTTGATGGTATTTCCCATGAGCATACGACCAAAGGTCTTGAGAGTATGGCAGGGGCAATCGTGACATCCACTCTTCATAGCGATACGAAGACGCTCAACGATTCTGAAATTTAAAGAAACACATGGAAGAAAGATATTACTTCACTGATAAATGGCTGGCTGTGGGTGAACAATATTTGGACAATGTTTATAATCGAGTGAAGATAAACATGTTGAGAGCTCGAGTTTTGATTTGCGTACGCTGAATCGATACGGTTCTACCCGTATAAGTATTCCGCGTCAAGCCTATGAAACCAGTTTTATCCTTCTCATTAATTTTTCTACTAATATGGAGACATGATGATACCATTGCCACATCAGCGTCCTTATCGGCTCTCTCCAACCCTCGTCGACGACGTGTCTACTGCGCTACTTGTTAAACATCTTAGAGACTACAAACCAAGTCACTGCGCTGCTCAATAGTCATGATGCTAGACACATTCTTGATTAAGTTATACAAGTAATTTAGGACTGCATGAGCCCTTCAAGAGGAGTGTGGAGACGTACAAGAACGACAACATAGCTACACAGCCGACTACTGACACGAAGGGTAAGGTATTCACTACGTGTGCCTTACAACAAGTATAGCGCTGTGAGTCCGGCAAAAAACTGGACGTGCTACCTGTTTATCGCTTGCTTGGCGAAAATGTCGGATTCAGGCTCAGGCCAAAGTGCTTGAGATCGAACAGATCAAGCACTGGTAGTTTATAAGGATCCGGTCGAAATCTTGACTGGTTTTAGGGACCAACGCTTGCAGTCCTTCAGCACATTATTCAAGGATTAAGACAAATCTTCCCAAAAATCCACAAGGTCACCAGTTAGTCTAATCATGGCTCTCGAAAGATACTTTATCGACGAAGAGCTAGCTGGATTGTTGTGATAAAGCAGAAATCGCACTGTCGCGGATGTTGTACGATTAGGGGCAAATCGTTTTGGATTGGTAGTAGATTAACGAACGATGAAGGAATTTCCAATCTACTTCTCGCAGTGGTCTGAACATCTCCTTTGGTAACGTTTGTTATTAGTTTTTCTGAAGTCCAGCTGATTCACGTGTGGTTAGATTATGTCGTGATAGTTTACCCCTCACCGTCGCTGAACAGACAATTGTCAAGCTTGTTGAAAGCCATGTACACTGAAAAGAGATCTGATCTAATTGATTCTTCGGCAGTTTGCACTTCGACAGCTCCGGGAAAAGACTTTGCCATGGCTCGTCAATTAATAAGTGGAGAGTAATCGAGCGCAATTATGTAAATTGTAACGTACACAACCGAAAAAGATTCCCCAAGATAGGTAATGTTCTGATCGAGTGCATTTATGCTAGGCGATGTGCGTCAAAGTCAATTTTTACTGATTCCAGTAGATAAGCCTGGTTCAATTTGCTGGTTTCAATTTGATTTTACCGATTTATACTAGATACTTGGACTTTGCATGTGAAATTAGTATGACATTGGTCGCTGAAACAAATATCTAATCCTACTTTCCAATCATTTTGTTAACTAGCACAAATTCGATTTCTACTTATTATGCAAGTCATCGTTGATACGATTGTGTTATATGTGCTTTTTAAGCTTTAACGGTTAAGAGCAGTGTACCCACAAGTAATGACAGCCATCAAGTTAAAATTCGTCGAAATAGCTCCTTCGTTGTCGTTCCGCACGAGGTGTAGAAGCAATATGAGACGATGGTTCTCGATGCCTTGAGAAACAAATTTAGTATCAAACATTGTTACAACGACCAACACCGATGAATTTTTTCTCTATGACGTTCTGGTTGGACTGCTTTTCGTTGTTTTGTATATGAATATTTCTGGCGATAGTACCGAAGAACCAGTTGAGCTGTTCTTGAACGAAGGGCTAATAGAGACGATAAATTTCGAAGCAGTCAGTTTTGCAATTGTCTAAGCTGAAGACTGGCATTAAAAGGTTCAGAGCCAGTTGTGCAGCATACGCGACAAGTCTGCATGGACCAACTTAATGTATATGAGTGGTCCATACTACATGTCCAAAATGATGGAAGAGACTCAGTGCATATAAGTTTAGCGTGGAAAGGAGGAACTGGAGATTAGTAGTTAAATAGTTTGGTATTAGGGTATCGGAATTGCTTGTTTTTGTAGACAAGTAAGGACCAGTAGAAAGGGAATTAATGGGAGTCGCCAAGCATCGCTTAGTCGTACCATGCATATGTACAGACGACACAGCACGTTAGAGAGAACTAGGAGACGTAGAGATGCATATGAAGGAAAAGCAACTAAATCGTGAAAGCCTTGTCGAGAAGGTAACCTGAAAACTTAGTCGATGCTAGAAACGTTCAAGACAAAGGTACATGTTTTCCAATCTCAATAAAACAACAGCCGAATGCTAGTAAAGCATCCGTATGAATCCTCCTTCCGCGTCATCTGTAGCCTACGTGTAGCTGGCAGAAATACTAGCGACACGAATGTATTGGTAAAGAGCATCTACCAACACACTCATT